TGCTGGGCCGGGGCAGGACACAAGTTATGCCATTAACTTACAGCTAAGACGTTCACGGAGCCGAACAAATTCTGAAGCTCAAGTGTCTTTGTACCCTAAACCCTAAACCCTAAACCCTAAACCCTAAACCGCACTTTTCAAGCATCTGGGCTGGCTTCAGCGTTTCGGATTTAGGGCTCAGGGCAGTGGGCTGGCTTTACGGTTTAGGATTTTTAATTTCCAATGTTATGGGATTCTAAGGGTGGGTGGGGGTTTTTTCCACATTCTAGCTAGACCCTAAACCCTAAACTTCAGAAAAGCATGGATCAGAGGCTCATGCGACAAAGATCCGGGCCACGCAGAAGATCCTGCCCGAGCCCTGACAACCCTTAAGGGAGTTTCCGGAAATAAGGGTTTAGGGTTTAGGGGGCCTTAGCAATTCGAATAGGGGTTGGGGGGTTCCTGATTATATTTATGGTATAGTAGACCCCCCAAACCCTATTCCAATTATTAAGGCCCCTAAATTTTGGGAGTTTCCGAAAATAAGGGGTGCTATAAGGGCCTAAATAGTTAGAAAGGGTTCTGGGGTCCTTTATGGTATAATTATACTAAGGAGCTCCCAAAATAATAGGCCCCTATATTACCTTGTTTAGGCGTTTAGGGGTCCTGATAATAAGGATCCTACTATTTAGGGTCCTATATTAGGGTCCCTATTTTTCGGAAGCCCCTTTGTCACGGTCTGGGGTTTGGGTTTAGAGTCTAGGGCCTAGGGTTTCGGGTTTAAGGACTCCGCAACCAGAGCAAGGCAGAACCACGTTGGACCCCAGACGCCGATATGGGAAGGTCGTCTGGGTAGTTCTCTAAATTCGGGTCCCTTTGTAGGTCCCCAATATAGTACGGCACCCTTATAAGAAGGACCCTAAAAGGGACCCTAATTTAGAGAACTACCCATCTAGGGTTCAGGGTTGTGTGACTTGGGTAGCAACAGCTTGTTACTAAACCCTAAACCCTAAACCCTAAAAGGGACCCTAATTTAGAGAACTACCCCCGACTACATCTCCTTTTGCATGGGTCACTCCCTAGGAAAAGAGCTGAGCTCTTCAGGCACCGAGGATCCTGATCTTCTGTTTGTTTTGTTTTTTTCTGCTCCAGGTGCCGGACTAAACCCTAAACCCCATATTTTCGGGGCTAATATAAAAAGTTAGGTTAATAAGGAATCCCCAAAACCCTTATCCTAATTATTAAGGCCCCCTAAACCAAATGAGATAGTCACAGCTTGTTGGATCCCGCGAAGTCTCCAGGCAGAAGGATCGCTACAGAAGGACCCTGACACGTTTCTCCCCTAGTTTCGAGGAAGCGAGGCTTGCGCAAGAGTTGCCAAGAGCAACCCTGCCTCGAACGTAGGGTTTAGGGTTTAGGGTTTAGGGTTTAGGGTTTAGGGTTTAGGGTTTAGGGTCCCTAAACCCTAAACCCTAAACCCTAGGGTTTAGGGTTTAGGGTTTAGAGATGTTTTGGGTTTCGGGGTTTAGGCTTCGCGATTTTTGGGAGTCTCAGTGTGTGGGATTCCTGCAATGCTTAGCCACGCCAGCACTCTTGCACAAAGAGCATCTAAGGACTTTAGGAGGGACCCCTAATAGGGACCCTTAATCCCATTACCATAAATAACAATTTTATCGTCCTTATCTACCCCTTATATAGCCAGGTAGTCTCCATATTAACCCCAGGGTCTCTCCTAAAGCCCTTAGAGAACAGCCTGTCGGGAGCTGATCAGGAAGTTGGTTTCAGGCCCGAGGGTCTTGTTTCCCAACATAATACAGGGGCCCAAAGAATTAGCAATGCTGTTAGCTTGGGGGAGGTTGCTCAAAAGGCTTCTCCAGTCTCGCGAGGGAAACCTTCTCTGATCTGCGGGTGAACCCAAAATCTTAAGCCGTCGCGAGACGCCGAA